CGGTCTCTCTTTCTTCTTGTGGAGGTGCCGGGCTCACCTCGGTGGACCGGGCTGAATGTTAGGATTTCGTTGGGCGCGCCCTGCTGTGGTTTTTTCCTCCGGGGGTTCACGTCGACATCTTCATCACTATCAAGACCGTCTCCGAAGCTGCCTCCTTTCTTTCTTTTCTCGCCGGGGCGAGTGAACTTCTTGACTTGCGGATCGTCTATCAACTTGAGCAGCGCCGCGATCAAATTTCGGCATTGATCTGTGTTATGTCCATGCGCCTTGTGGTATGCGCAATACCGGGACTGGTCTACCTTGTCCTTATCGGTGAACATGGGTTTCGGGTGGGGCAGCAAACCCTTCGCCTTGATCTCCTCATAGACCGCGGCGGCACCAACCGAAAAGACGCCCTGGTAGTTTTCTCTGAGTTCTTCCGCCCTTTGCTTCCTCATAGCCCGCATCTCGGCAAATGACTTGCTGGGTTTCCCCGACTTATCTTTATTTGTGTCCTTGCTTGACGCGGCGTCCAGCACCGGGATGGATGAGGATTCCTCAGCCATTATGTAATTTTGGGCTTTGGCGAGGAACTCCTGGTAGGTGGCTGGCTTGTTTTGGCACAGGGACAACTTGAACAAGGTTTTTGGTTTCAGCCCGGCCTGCACGGAGACGAGCAGGGTCTCGGGGTGGCACTGTTCCATGTTCTGGACTCGGTCGTTAAACCGAGCGATATAGTCTTTCAAACTCTCGTCCTCGCCCTGGACAATATTGGCGATTGATTCCTTGGGGGCCAGGCTGATCTGTGATCCGATGAAGTGCGATCGGAACGCCGACCTGAGCTGGCCCCAGGTGCAGATCGAGTGCGGGTACAAGGAATGGTACCATCTCTGCGCCTTTGGTCCCAGGGTCAGGGAAAACATTCGGCAGCGTAGGGCGTCTGTTGCGCCGTGCAGGTCCATCCATGACGTGTAAAGGCCGACGTGAGAGTCGGGATCCGAATTTCCGTCGTAGAGCCCGAGCTGCGGCACCTTGATTTTCTGGGGTACGGGCTCGCGCAGGATGTCAGGGGAGAGAGGGGAGGCGTGGTCCACGACTCGTGGAGTGGGCTGCAAGTAGTGAGGGGGTGATGTGCCCCTTGGGGGAGAGCGCCGACCCTCCAATTCGGCGATTCTACGCTTAAGGGCCGCGACTTCGTCCGTGTCGCGCCCGATGTTCTTGCCCCGCTCGATCACGTCCCGGAGGTCGCGGTTGGCCTGGGTTTTGTCCCCAAGGCGTTGGTACACGGAGCGCCGTATGACCTGGAGGCTCCGGTCTGGCTGGCTTTCGCCGGTCTGCTCCGTTGGCGCCGGTCTGGCGTTTTTCTCGCGCCTGGCCTGAGCGGAGCGGTTGGGCGATTGAGCCGTCGTCTTGGATTTGGCGGGTTTTTTCTGCTGTCCCCCGGCCTCCTTGTCGGGGGTTTGGAGCAGGGTGTTGACGGGATTTTCTGTGGCCGCCACAGTGTTTCCCCCAGGTGCCTGGCTCGCTAAGGCCCTGGCGAAGACCCCCTCCAGGGCTTTGAGCACGTCGGGGTGCTGTATGGCAGCAGCAAAGGTAGGAACAGGAGGAACGGGGACTTGGGTCCCCTGCTGGTTGCGGCGAGAAGTTTCTTCGCCGTTGCGCCGGCGGGGCTGAGCGCCGGACTGCTGGGTTGACTCGTTGTTGCTGGACGAAACCATCTTGAACGAGATTCGAAGCAAATGAAAGTGAGTGAATATAGGGTTTCACAAGGTCGAACAATTGACACCAAGCAACTTATGGTGCCCTTCCTCTAGCGCCAAACTGTTGACGAGCGTTTTCGGTCAACGGTTAAAAATAAAGAATGTTGAGAACCACTGAAAAAAGGGGGAGAACGGTTCGGTTTAATTACGATTTTATTAGGCGATCACGAGGTCGGCCTCTCGTACGAGGTCGGCACTTGCGATATACTTACAATTCTTACAGCGAGTTTATTACAACTTTTAGAAAGAGAAAGTAGAGAGAAGGTAGAGTTAATTCAATTTCAACAACCCGAAATAAATGAGATGAGCTGCTATTTATAGTGGTCTTTAATATGGCACTATTCGGCTACTGTTCACTGGTCTTGTCGCACAGTAATTCGGCAGGGCAGTTCGGCGTCCGTCTGACGGTTATTTAATGCGATTTGAGGTTTCCCCAATCATTGCCTGACGGGCATTAAATGCCAGCATGGGGGGCATTTAATGCTGGATGGCTTTGCTGACTTAGGCTGGCTGGTAGGGGGCTAGACCATGATTACTTGTCCCATCGTCCAATGATGACCTCCCAAGTGGGAATATTTTAATGTTCATCGAGGCCCGTGCGTCGTCCCTGGCCGGCCTCTTCATACTTTCAGGTCGGCACTTCGTTCGTAGATGCTCATGAGACTACGATTAATCCCCTTCCTGCCCGGCACCCTTCCAGGTCGGCAGCTCTCCGGTCTGAGCCTGGCACCGGGCTGAAAATCCGTTCCCAGGGCGGTTTCCCGGCCCCCCTAATCCATGATCCAGCTCGGCACTTTCTCATCAGACCGGGTTTTTGGCTCGAATCGGTTGGCAACGTCTCCCCGGCTCATTCCTGGCTAACTCGGATATCAACAGAAGGTACGTCAGTTTTCCTTGTAAGCTTTTGAGTTCATGAATATCACGAGGTTCTGGGATTCTCAATATTGCATCAATCTTCTCTTGCTCGATCTCTATTCCTCGATGACGGACAATGAACCCAAGAAATTTTCCAGACTTGACGCCAAACGCACACTTGAGTGGATTCATCTTGAGTTGATATCTCCTTAACCGTTCAAAAACCCTTTTCAAATCTTCAAGGTGATCTTCTCGCTTTCTTGACTTCACAACCACATCATCAACATAACATTCAATGCTTTTGTGAAGCATATCATCAAAAATCCTTTGCATAGCCCGTTGGTATGTAGCCCCAGCATTTTTCAACCCAAATGGCATCACCTTGTAGCAGTATATCCCTTCCGGCGTACGGAATGCAGTCAATTCTTCATCTCTTGGTGACATGCGTATTTGGTTGT